GGCGAGCGCGTGTAAATGTCGCCCTTATTATTGCTTCGCTCTCTGCTCCTGCCTCCCCCGCGTCTGCCACCGCCGCTCAGGAGAGGGGAGAAGGAACAGGCGCCGCTTGACTTCTGTCTTCACAGTCAATTGAGTGGAAAAAAACAAGGGCTTTTGGTGATTGCTTCGTAAGTTACAGACATGTCTGATCACTATGTTCTACACCTGAAACTAATATCATATTGTAAGTCAACTGTAATTGAAAAAATAAAAAGAAATTAAAAAAACAAAACAAAAAACTAGGACTTGAAAGCAGGAGACATAAGTTCCAATCCTGGATCCAAAATAAGTTACCTCAGTGACCTTGGGCCAGTCCACGGTCTCCTTCACGACCGTCTCCGTCTCTGTTTAAGGGGATTGGAGGTGGCCTCTAGGCACGTGGCATTGGGGGCGGGGGCAGACCCAGACCGGTGTCCCTTCACTGCCACCCCGGTCCCTGAGAAGGGCCTGGGGCTGAGCCAGGAGCCGGGTACCCGCCCCCAGGTGGAGGCAGACTCCACCCTGCGACAGGAGGGATCCGGCCCGCGGGGGGCCGTTCCCCAGGTCCCCCGGCCCGGAGCAGCAGGCCAGAAACCACAGCCATGAGCATGACCCTCCCCGCTGGTGACTCGGCGCTTCGCCCTTTCTCAAGGTCAGAGCCCAAGTGAAGGAGGTGTTTATGGAGCGGATGCTGCCATTCTTAGGTCGTTGACCCTTTCTCACTGCAGAGAGTCCGGGGCAAGAAGAGAACCCTTGTGCGTCTTCTGGCTGGTGTCCCCGGAAAGTGACTCTCCGTCTCTCGACACCGGTCTCCTCTTGGAGAAAATGACAATAGCACCTGCCTATTGGAGTTGTTATAAAGACTGTCAGTTACGGTGCAAGCAACAAGAAGAACCCAAATCGGACGGTTTAAACAACAGCGGATTTACTCAGCTCTCCCACTTATAAATGGGCCATATGTAGGGCAGGCTCCACTATTTATAGTCTAAACAGTCCCAGATCTTTTCTGTATTTCTCCCTTTTTATACAGAGGCAGGAAACGGAATACATAAAAATAAAGCAACAGTTGCCTACACTCTCATCTCTTTACTTGTTAATTATGTAAATCAAGAAGTAAAAGTTTCCGATCTCAACCTCTAGAAGCGATTCCTGCTTAGAATTTGTGGCATATTTTTTCAGACATTTTTTCCTATCCACCTAGAGACATCTCTAGATGTTCCATATAGACAGATATACACATACACTTTAACCAAAATAAAATCATGCTACATATGTCGAGTTTCAAACTAGTTTGGATTTATCTAGAGCAGTGATTAAAAATTCATATACGTCATCCCTAGAGACAGAAAGCAGATGGGTGGTTGCCAGGGGCTGGGTGGAGGAGGGCAGAAACTGGTTAATGATTACCCAACGAGGTCTACAGAGGACAGAGAGAAAAGATCAAGGAGTGAACAAAGCCAGGTGTAGGGCAATAAGGAGTGGCGGGAACTGGGGCGAACTAAAAAGGCCAGGCTGGTGATCACGACCCCCTCATCAGTTGTCACCATGGGGAACATGGGCCCAGAGTTGTCAGATTTTAGAAGTTTTCAAGATAAGGCAGAAATGTGGATGTTATATGAAAACCACCATTAGATATTTAGATATGGGACACATAAGTGACCTTTTTAAAAACAGAGTCTGGGCCTGTAGGTTACCAATTTACAACTTCGGTAGCAGGTCACCTTCGGGGTTCAGCCAGCCCGCTACAGAAATGTGGTATACAGGGACAGGGGACAGGTGCTGGGAGGTGTCTCGCACCTGGCCAGATACATGTCAGCTCTCTGACTGTGGAAAAGGGAACCAGCCTTACATTCAGTAGAGCGAAGAGCCCCTGCCTCTGAGGTTTGGATTAGGTTTCGGTAAGCGTTAGCCCCGCCCCTTCGCACAGTGGGTGGAGTTTGTTTGCCTCTCCCCCAATGATAGTGCGCATAGCTGCATGACCGGCTTTGGCCAATGGAAGGTTAGCAGACACCGTGGCGCACAAAAGTCTCAAATGCGCCAGTGCAGTTGGCTTGACTCTCACTCTGTTGGGCACCCCTGAGAAAAGCGTGTCCCAGGTAAAAGCATGTCGCCTTCAGCCTGGGCCCTAGAATGAACCTATACAGAACAAACCTGAAGCCAAGACCAGCTTGACACAGAACCAACCGGTGAAGCCGACTTTAGATCAGTCACACTGCAGCTGACCTCAGGCTAGTGATCGTGAGGCTAAATGTTTGCTGACGCCACTGAGGCCACATCTGACATCACTGTCGGGAACTAAACGATCTGTAAATCCCGCCCCCAACCCTGGTCTCGTGGTTACCCCTATACTCGAAAATTATTGAGGACCACAACGAGCCTTTATTTATGTGAGTTCTGTCGATATTCACTATATTAGAAATTAAATGCCATTTAAACAGAAAATTTTAAAACACAAGAATACTCGACATCCTTAATCATCAGAGAAACACGAATCAAAATCACAGTTTTGATATTACTTTGCACCCACTAGGATAGCTATGATAAAAAAAAAATACAGATAATAATTATTGGCAAGGGTATGGAGAAGTCAGAATTTTCATGTCCTGCTAGGGGGAACGTAAAATGGTGCAGCCACTTCGGAAAACAGACTGGCAGGTCCTCAAAAGGTTAAATATAGAGTTACCATTTGACCCAGTCATTTCCACTGGTAGGTATATACTCAAGAAAAATGATGACATGTGTCTGTACAAAATTTATACGCAAATGCCCATAAGCAGCCTAATTTGTAATAGCCAAAAAGTGGAAACAAACCAAATGTTCCTCAACTGACGAATAAATAAATATAATGTGGTATGCCCATACAGTGGAATATTACTTGCCAATAAAAAGGGAATAAAGTATTGATTCATTCTACAATGTGCACGAACCTTGAAAACATTATGCTAAGTGAAAGAAGTCAGTCTACATGAAATTTCCAGAACAAGCAAATCTTTAGAGAAGAAAATAATTAGTCAGTGCAGGAGCTAAGGGTGAGGGAACAGGGAATAACTGCTAATGGGTGCCGGACTTCTTTTGGGGGGTGACAAAATTTTTAAAAAATTGATTGTGGTCATTGCTGCACAAGTCTATGGATGTACTGATAACCATTGAATTGTACACTTTATGGGGGTAAACTGAATGGGCAGACATGACTTATATCTCGATAAAGTTGTTAAAACACACACAGGAATACCTACGCAGAGAACCCGTTAGCCGGCAAAGCAATGACACCGTCGCACATGTAACCTCTGGAAAACTCCGCTGAGTCCTCGTGGGAGATGATAGTGAATGAGGCAAAAAATATCTGATTATTATAGAAACCGTACTGACAGGGCCCCCAACCCACACGTTGAGAACCACTGCCCCAGATGCCGAGGGCACCAGGAATAAGGTCCCCAAACCACATGTCTTTCAGGAACCAGGGGTTTGGGTCTGCCTCTCCGTGGTTACCAGTGCTTTGGACCATTCTGAGTTCCGGCTCCACGCAGATCCCCCAGGGGACCTTCAGCACATGCCCATCCCCTCAGCCTCTCTGCCTACTGGGAAGGTATCGGAAAAGTCTGCCTGCAGCAGAGGCAACCAGTTCCGAGTCTCGACAGAGAAAAAGAGCCAGACACAGAAAAGAGGAAGGGGCTCCCTGGCAGAAGAGCCTTCGGCTGCAGCTAGGGACTGACTAGCTGTCCTGGTCCGCGGGAGGGACCTCACCGCTGAGCACGCTGAGTTCTCCTCCCTCCTTGTTCTCGTTCTTAACGAGAGTGATGGTCATTAACGGCTTCAGGCGCTGTGTGCTTCCTTTATATACTGGGCCAGATTTCACCGTTAGCACCATGCTGCGGGGAGCAGGACTGAGCGCTGGGTGAGCCCCATCTCGCGGCAGAAGAAACTGAGGCTCGGAGAGATGAAGTCAGTCACTCAAGGTCACACGGGGTGGGGCACACTTCCAAAACGTACTTGATCCCAAGTCCCTGCTCTCTGCCATTGCCTCGTATTGTATCGCATAGGCTCGGATGTGAACCCCTTAGGATCCAGCTCCGTTTATTATGCAGAGCTATTCTCCCCGGCCTGTGCCTGAAACAGTGCATCGGGACAGAGCATGAGCTGTTTATTAAGAAAATGCTTAAGCTCATCTCCCTGACTACGCCAGATCTTTCTGGAAACAACTCTTAAATCCTGCAGCATTTTGCTACGTTCTAGGCACGTCGTCGGCATTTTACACGTATCGATTCATTTCATCTTCGCAGCAACCTTGGGGACGGGCGTTATTCACCCGCTCTACAGATGAAGAAACTGAGGTTCAGAGAAACGCTTCGTTCAGCATTCTGCACGCCTGGTAAAAATATCAGAGCCAGAGTCTGCGCTTAGCCAGTTCACGCTTAACCTCACTATGCTGTGTCTCGGAGGGAGTGAAGGAAGCGATGTGACAAGAATATACAAGTCTTGTCAAGAAGCCCACGCTCAGCTTCTGTGGCAGGCTGAATAACGACCCCCAAAGATGTCCTTGCCCCGATTTCCAGAACCTGGAAATACATTCCCTTACATGGCAACAAGGACACTGCAGATGTGATGAAGTTAAGGATCTTAAGGTGGGGGCATTACTCTGGATTATGGTGGTGGCTCAACATATTCACAAGGGTCCATATAAGGGGGAGGCAGGAGGATCGGAGTTCGAGGGAGAAGGTGCAAGGGCAGAAGCAGAGGTCAGAGAGGAAGAGGATGCTGTGCATCTTTGAACGTAAAAGGAGCTTCAAGCCAAGGAGTGCAGCCTCTAGAAGCCACAACGGACAAGGAAATCGATTCTCCGCAAGAGCTTCCAGAAGGAATCGGCCCTGCAAGCACCTCGATTCCAGCCCAGCGACACCCATTTCTGACTTCTGACCTCCAGAACTATACAATAATGAATTTATGCTGTTTTAAGGCCTTGAGTTTGTAGCAATTTGTTTTTCTTTTTTGATTATTACTATTTCTGCCTACAGCACCTGGTCTTCCATCCAAGTACTTCCAACCAGGCTGGACCCTGCGCAGCTTCCGAGGTCAGACGGGATCGAGCTTGTTCAGGGTGGCATGGCCATAGACCGTGGCTCCACTGGGGCGCAAACCCAGGACCTTCTGCGTGTAAAGCAGACGTGCTAACCACTACACTATGGAAACACGTCCTGCAGCAATTTGTTACAGCAGCAACAGGAAACTAATACAGTCTCTTCAATGGGAGCTGCTGATTCGCCTCTCCCACCAAACCCACAGAACTAAGGAGTTTCCAAAACAGAAGAAACGTTTGGCTTCTGGGTAGATGAAAAATGTAAAATGTCTACCACATACATCAAGAGGGACTTTGTGTTCCTCTAATATTTTAATGTCTCCTGAGAACACTTCCATATACCACTAGTGTAATTAAAATTAAAAAAGGAACAAATTTATTCTCGTGTAGAAGTAAGTGCTACATCAAACTCCTGCCAGCATTCATCTAAAAATATTTATTGAGCACCTACTATGTGCTGGGTACCGTTCTAACACTGGGGATTCGGCAAGAACAAAAGGGACAGAATTCCCTGTCCTTGTGCATCTTGCACACTCTGGTGGAGAGACAGATAATAGACGAAAGAAATAAGTAAATTTATTGGGTGGTGATGAACACAGTGGAGAAATACACGCCAAGAGGACATGGCGGACCCAGACGGGAGCTGCGAGTTTAGAGGCGGAGCCAGGAGCGCCCTCTCTGACGAGGCGACTTTTGAGCAGAGGCCTGAGGGATGCAAGAGAGGGAGCCTCAGGGATCCTGGAGGAAGAAAATTCCAGATAGAGCGGAGTGAGCAAGGAGGGAGAGAATAGATGAAGTCAGAGTTAACGGGTAGTGGGGGTGGGAGGGGGTGATCTTGCCGGGCCCTCTGAAGGGACTTTGGACTTGGCGAAGCCACCGGTGGTAGCAGCAGAGAAGGGACATGATCTGGTTTGCATTTCAACAGGAGAATAACTTAGCAGGACCAAAGTGGAAACACACAGCCCGGTTCTGGCTACGGAGCAACTGCAAGAGCTCAGGGAGGAGGTGCGTGTGTCTCCGTCCGGGGTTTCTGCATTGGGGATATGTCAGTGGCATCTGCTGACGGATCAGGTGTGACGTATGGAAGGAAGAGGGGAGCCCGTGGAAGACGCCTCCAAGGGCTGCGGCCTGAGCGGCAGGGCCGACGGAGCTGCGTTACCTGGGACGGGCAGCCTGCAGGGCGTGCAGGTTTGGGAGGCAGATCAGATGCTCAGCTTCAGACGCAAGTCGCTTGCGAGTCGCTTAGACAGCCAGGAGCAGATGCTGGAAAGATGAGCCCAGAATTCGGGGTGGGGTTTGCACTGGACACAGAAGTTTGAGATGAACAGCGAACAAGGCAGCACTCGCTCAGAGCAGTTATCGCTGGAGCGTTTGGCTGACAGCGGTGTCGTTGCTGCGGTTCGGTGTTTCCCACGCAGGGCGGGAGAAACACTAGCAACGCGGAACCAGCGGAACCGGACCCGAAATCGCGCACGTCCCAGTCTGCGAGATAAAACGCGAGGTGACGGCACAGAGCAGGGATTTGGGATTGAGCACGTGTTGAAAGTCAGCTCTACCCCGCGTGCTTTTTTTTAATTAAAATTATTGGGTGACATTGGTTAATACAATTAAATGGGTTTCAAGTGTACAATTCAATAATACGTCACACGAACACTGCATTGTGTGTTCAACACCCAAGTTAACGTTCCTTCCGTCATCAAATATTTGACCGTCTTTACCCCATCGACCTCCCTGTCCCCGCTTCCCTCTGGTGACCACTGATCCACTGTCCGTGTCCCTGAGTCTCTGTTAGTCATGTTTGTTTGTGGTTTCCAGTTTTATATCCCACGTGAGTGAAATCATATGGTTCTCAACTTTCTCTGACTTATTTCACGTAGCATGATAATCTCCAGATCCATCCATGTTGTCACAAATGGGAATATTTCATCTTTTCTTATGGCCGAGTAATATTCCATTGTATACACCCTGTGTGATCTGCAGTGACTTACTTCCTCGCTCCAGCTGCTGGGGGCTGTCAGCAGACAACTTCCTGCTGTCAGCTCTCTCGGCGTCAGCCTCAGGTGCAGAGAGCTGCCCCGCTCAAATCCAGGCCCTTCCGGGGATGGCCCCATCAGTGACCGATGGAGTCGGGGATATGAAGCCCGGGAATTTAAGCCAAACGGGACAGCTCTGTTAAGCTATCCACACTCAGAGTCTCCTGTGGGGTCGACCGAGGCCGATGTGGGGCCTGCATCACAGTTCAAATTCTCCATCTGCCCAACTCTGGCTCTCCCCTCCTCCTTCCACTGGCGTGAAGCGCTAACAAATGTCCTGCACTTCAAACTGCAGCTCAGCGTCTGCTTCCAGGGAGCTCAAATTGCAACAGGATTCAACAGCACCGAGGTGGGACACAAAGCCTAAAAGTTGCGTTTAACATGTAGGCAGGCCCTACAGTATTCCAGGCCTGCTTCCTAAGACACAGACCCCTTTCTGTGCCATCAGCCTGACCTCCCGACCTGGAGAGACAAGAGAAGAATGACAAACACCTGCTATAAGTGTTTCAAAAAAGTCACAGAGGGAAGAGTCAAAGGTGCCCAACCTCATTAGTATTCAGTATTCAGAAAGATTCTAGTTAAAATCATAATAGCATGCCATTTTATATCTAGATTGTCAAAAAAAAAATTTTTTTAAGTCTCCCAATATTAGGTTTTAATCCTTAGTATGAAACAAATATCCACAAGTCCATACTGATCTAAGCAAATGATCAAACACATAAGTAAATGGGGAGAAGGGATAGCTCTGCCTTTCAATAGAATTCTAATTAATAAATACAGAAGGAAAAGGGACGTGAAAAATCACTACTAGGCAAATGTCCCGATAATAACTGCTGTAGACAAGATCCACCCTTGGAGGCTAAAATCGGTGGGTAAAAGTCTGAGGAGAAACGAGGCTTGTATAGTCTCCAAGTATCTCCCCATAGGCACTTCTTAATAACTAGTTGTTAATAACATTAATTATTATAACCAAGTGGTCAAGGCCAAAAGGAATAAGACTCAGGGACATCATGAACCCCCTGGTATGAGGCACTGAGAAGGACACAACATCATTTTGTGGTATTCTTGGCAAAAATGCATAAACTTTGTGCATTTCTACCATGAAAAACAAGACGAACCCAAATCAAGAAACATTCTATAAAACAGCTGATAAGTACTCTTCAAAAATGTCAAGGTTATGAAAGCCAAGGAAATACAGAGGACCGGCCCACAGACTAGAGGCTAAAGAGACAACCAAGTGCAGTGTGGGATCCTGGATTCGATCCTAGAACAGAAAAACTATTAAAATTCAAATCAGGTTGGTACTTTAGTTAATATGGTATCAAGGCTCATCCCTGGGTTTTGGCCACTGCGCCACAGCGCTAACTTAAGGGGGACAGGGGAGAGAGACCGGGGAACTCTGCGTTATCTGCAACTTTCCTCTAAGTCTGAAATTATCTAGCAGGCTATCTTCCCCCTCTCTCTCTCTCTCTCTCTCTCTCTCTCTCTCTCTCTCACACACACACACACACACACACACACCCCTTTTGTTCTCTCTCTCTCTCTCTCTCTCTCTCTCTCTCTCTCTCTGTCCACCTTTGATATGAGGGAGCCAGACGTATGTCATGAAGACACACCATGAAGGGGGCTACACAGCGAGAAACTGAGACCTCCTGTCAACGAACAGCACTGTCTTCCAGGCATGTGAATGACCTACCTTGAGAGGGGATACCCTCGGCCCCAGTCAAGCCTTCTGATGACCGCAGGCCTGGCCAACATCTTCACTGATAGGGCTTCGAGCCAGAACCATCCAGAGACCACCCCGCACCAACTCAATACTTGACCCACAGAAAGTATGTGTGATGATGTTTACAGCTTTGAGCTGCTTTTTAAAAGAAAATATTGCCATTGCACACAGTAGCCACCAGATGGCGCCTGGACTCCAGGGTTGGAAACCAAGACTGTGCCAACATTACAAAGCCCTTGAGTTCATGTACAAATGTATCTCGATCCTAATAAAAATGTCATTGGGGTTTCCTCTAGAGTTAGACAATTTGATTATAAAGTTCATTGAGAGGGACAACAGGCAAAAAAAAGGGGGAGGAGGAGAAGTGAGGCCGTAGCTCTACCAGATGTTAAAAACAATATAAAGCAATGTCATGGATGCACGAGTAAGCACACAGATCAAGGGAAGGATTAGAAAATCCAGAAATAGAAGCATTTGCTCATGGAATGTATTCTATGATATAATTAACGTAATAGTTTTGAATTCGGGGGTGGGGGGGACGTTAGGGAAGTTTTTTATGCAGCAGTATTAGAACAGCTTGATAACCCAAAAGCAAAGCATGAATTCAATCCTCGCACTGGATGCCAGATTAAATTCCAAGTGTATCTAAGATCTAAGTGAAAAAGTGCCACCTCGCAAGTAATAAAAGAAAACACTGGTGATTGCCCTCATGGCCTGAAATTGGGGTAAATTTTCTAAATTATTCATCGAAACCCAAAAGCAATAAAAGAGAATTTTGTTAAATAGCTAAACAAAAAGGAAAACCTTTTCTAGTTCCAAAAAATAAACCCGCCATACGCAAACTAAAAACTACAGGTGACAAAACAAGGAAAACACGTACAGCTTACGTGGCAAAGGATTAGTATCCCTCACATATAAAGCGTATCTAAAAATCGATGGAAAAAAAAGACTAAGAAACCTCTTGAAAGCGAGAAAGGTATGTGAACAGAGTTCACATTAAAAAATGCAAATGTCCCCACGTATATAAAAATATGCTCAACCTCACACAGAGTAAAAAAAAGTTACAGCTATACTGAGATCCTTTTTCTCACCTACCTGATGAGCAAAAATCCAAATGTTCGACAATGTGCCAATGGCAATGCTGTGAGGAGAGAGGGGTTCTCACACGCTGCTGGTGAAACGCAGAGACGGACAAGCACCGTGGATGAGCACCTGGCAATACCTAGCAAACTCGCCCTCTGACCCAGCAACCCCACGTCTAGGATTGCACGGCACAGACACGCAGATGGGGAAATGCAATGCCATAGGAATGTGTCTCTTCACTGCAGCACTATTTGTGACGGCAAAACCTGGACACGACTGAAGTGGCCATGAATAGGGCGCTGGTTAAATCGACGACACTGCATCGACCCCGGATAGAATGCCATACAGCTCTGAAAGGAAATAAGATATATTAGGATTACATATACACAAGATGTGTGTGTGTGCGTGCTTAAGATACAGTTCCGTGAAAAAGGCAAGGTGCTAACTGGCGTGCAGAGTTTGCTACCTTTTGTGCAATAAGGAGGCACGGGGTATCCCCCAGTCGTCTGGGACCCGGCCCTGGGGTGATTAGAGCAGGCAGCTAGTGGCCCAGAGTGTGAGAGCCTCATAGAGGAGCTGGGCGGGGGCTCTGGATGGGTTCGTTCGTATTTGAAAGGCGTGCTCATGGGTGAGTTCTTTACTACCCTTAGAAGCTGGCCAGTCCTGGCAAGGGCAGTCCCTCCAGGGTCTGCGAGGCCCCAGATGCCAAAGCACCAGGATACAGGAAAAAAAGGCCTGGCTAATACACCTCCTTGGCCTCTCGGCCACACTTGACCCAGCTTCTTGAACCTCCCTTGTCCCCCACCCTCTATAACTCTTCATCCCTCTGACTCTCCTCCCACCACCCTGCCTATCCCTCCTCACGGTCTGTCCTGATCTCTACTCCTAGGACACCTGGTTAGAGGATCTTTTTCTCATGCTGCTTGGCTCCTTGGGAAGACTCATCCAGGCCCATGGCTTCAGTTGACACTTGGATGCTGATCATTCCCAAACCTCGATTTCTATCCAGACCTCTCCCTTGAGCTCAAGACCCTCTAGCCAACTGCCTATGGGATGTCTGCACCTGAGTATCTCACTTGGAATCTGATCAAATCCAAAAGCAAATTGATCATGTCCTCTACCCCACCCCCGCCCCTCCTCCTACAGTGCCTGTGTTTTATGAATGGGCACCACAATCCATCTGGGACCTGGGCCAAGAACCTGGGAGCTGTCCTCCCTCCTCCCAAATAGCAATCAAGGCCGTGTAAATATCTTCTGTCTGTCACCTCTTCTCCAACCCCCCACCCCCACTCCCTCTCACCCCCATTCCCGCTGCTCTGGTTTGGACAATCTTCATCTCTGACTTGTATTATTGTAGCAGGCTCTAGATCAGTCAGGGTCCAGTGAGGAGACAGAAACCACACCAGTTACTTTAACAGAGGAAATTCAATGTATTTCGGAATGTAAGGAATTGCCAGCTCCATATAAAGTTATCTAGATAACCGAGCTGGTAAAGAGAGAACTCTAAGGCCACAGTTCTTAAATGTTAGAACTGCCTGGAGGACTTGCTAAAACACAGCCCGCTGAGCCTGACCCTGGGCCTCGGACTGGTCCGGGATGGGCCTGGAACTTTGCATCTCTAACAAGTTCCCAGCTGATGCTGACGCTGCTGGTCCAAGGCCCACGCTCTGACACTCAGGGCTCTAAGGTACCACAGGAGTGACATCTGCAGGACCCTGCCCCCAGAGTCAGGGGACAGAGACTCTGCACCAGCTGCCTGGCACGGATGTTTCTGATGAAATTGGTCTGGCAAGTGTTAAGAGAACTACAAACTGGATCGGCCTCTGCTACAGGAAGACGTGCTGCAGCTGTCGCGGCCCCAGTAAGTAACACGCGACAGCCTGCAAGTCCCTTGCTCGTAAGGTGACCAACCCGGCTGGGAAGGGGTCCCCTGGAGGCAGGCGTTCCAATGTTAAAAGTCCTGGGCAGACCGCAACGAGTGGCTCACCCTCCTTCTGCCGTCACCTAGCAAGAGCCTAACGTGACATCATCTGGCAAAGCGGGCCACATCATCTGGCAAAGCGGGCCGCATCACAGAGCGGGGCCCCGGGGGCGCGGCTGGGAGCTGAGACCACAGCGGCTGCTGGCTCCTCCTGGTCTCCGTCCTCCGCCAGCCAACCCCGGGTCTGCCACCAAGAGGAGCTTTATAAATCGGTAGAACTGATCATTTCAGGCTCTGGACAAAAGTTTTTCAATACTGACTGATATTGTGATTTACAATAAATAGCTATTTGGTCTTCGTGCCCTTTCCTGGCACAGAGCTCCTAAAACCCTTAGTTTCCTAGGTCATAGCGCGATAAAGGCAAAGGGTCCTTTTTCAACTTTTCAATGCAGCATAAAAGCCTCTTCAGAGTTATCGTCAGCTGCAGCCTAGTCTCATCTCCTTCCCTGAACTTGATCATCTGGAAATACAGAAATCTTTAGTGTCCTTTTTATTCACAATTAGCCCCTTTCAATCACCGGGGGCTTTTGGAAAGCCCGGGCATCGTAAGGGCGGGGCTGGTTACCAAGGGAACCCACCTGTGACTGGAGGGCGGGAGACTTCAGACCAACCGCGCACTCCCTGGGCTGGAGAATGACTCGGGCACGGAGGGCCGTAGATTTAATCCACCGCGCCTACATAACGGAGCCCGGTAAAAACCTCGTAGGGGTTCCGGGAGCCTCGGGGCTGGTGACCGGAAGGAAGTTTCCACCCCTCCCCCCATGCCTTGTGCTACGCATCTCTTCCACCTGGCCATCCCCGAGTTGTATCTGTTCATAACAAACCGGTAATCTAGCACGGGAACCCCCCAATCTGTAGCCACGTTGGACAGATTGTGGGTAACCTGTGAACGCACTACTTGCAATGGGCATCTGGGGAGCGGGTGGGGCGTCTTGTGGGACTGAGCCCTTAACCTGTGGGATCTGATGCTGGCGCCAGGTACTGTCAGAATTGAACTGAATCACAGGACACCCAGTCGGTGTCGGCAGAATTGGAGAATTTCTTGGTGTGGGAAAAACCCGCACACCTTGGTGAGCAGAACCGAAGTACCCAGAGCAGAGTGGTGAGCAGAGAAAGACGCAGAGGTCTTCCTTTTCGCTGCCTATGGGCCGCCCATCAGGATGAGCTTTCAGCTTGTTAATGCTGCACAAAAGCCTCTTCAAAGTTACCTTCTCCTTTCCTGAGCTTGATGTTTGGGAAGTACATATATCTTTAGTTCTCCTAAAGCAAATCATATTCTCAAGTTGCTGTGCTTTGAATACATTATTCTCTCATCTGGATAAAAAAGCACATAAACTCCCTTTTTCAGAGGAAAATAATAAGAACGAAATATGTGCTTCGCCTTTAAGAATGAAAGTTTGCTTTTTCAGTCGGTAACGTGCTAGCTGGATGTGAAGGCCAAAGAAAATCTCAAAGCAAGTGTATTTTTGAATTCCACAGTATTTACTGTTCTTCAGCTTCTGACACCCGAGGAGAAAAAAAAAATACGAACACTCCTAGTGCTAATGAAACTTGTTAGTTTTTCTTTCCTGTTAAAGATATTTTTACTTGAATTCTTTTCAAGACTTGAAACGTTTTTAGATAAATTCCATAACCGAAAAGCAATGGTTGGTTTGGAAATTAGAGATGGTTTGTAAAAATCATGTCAGATGATTTAAAAGATTCAGCGATGGTTTTCAAAGCTTATTCTTCAACTCAAAGGCTCTAAGTTCTTTATGCGGTTATGTGGTTAAGAGTGATTTTGCTTTTTTTTTCTCTCTACTGCAATACTTTTTTAAAAAATTAATCAAGCGGTTTCTGACCAGTCTTGTCTGGTTTTTCTCCAGCATAAATTCCTTTGTGAAGACTTCCAAGGCAAACCCACGGCTCCTTACAGGATCCCACTAGATCTCCCTCCAGCAAGCTGAATTAGAACTGTTGGCATGGTTGTCTTTCCACTCTGCTGATCCCTTTTTGGGGCAGTAATTGTGGGTTTTGGTCTTTAGACTCCACCTTTTCGGCACGATCTCTTTCGACATGCATCGAATAGTTGTTGAGTGACTGCAACAGCATTTTTGATAAAACTGAGTTCCAATGCTGCCTCGGCCAGCCCTCATTTGCCCATGGGCACATTTACGGTTACCTGAGTCCCAGCTGACTCGCGGGCAGAAGGCAGAGTGCAGTGGGCATGGTGAGCACTCTGGAGTCAGCCTGCTCTGCTTGGCAGCTGCCCATTGTGTGACTGGGCAAGTGACTGAACAGCGGTGGGCCTGCCTTCCTTTCCTACAAAACGGGGATGCAACGTTACTCAACGGAACCAAAAGGGGGTCCGCCCTCCCGATGCGCAGCAAAGCCAAACACTGAACATCGATGGTTCTGATGGAGAAATCGAAGCCATTTTATTTGCAGGGTGCCAAGCAAGGAGAATGGGAAGTTGGCAGTTAAACCTCAAAATCTCCTGATGACTTTTAATCAAGGGTTTTTAAAGGCACAGACTGAGGGGTTGGGGGGACAAGCTGGTGTGCGGAAGTACCTACGTGCAGGTTTTGACTGGAGAGCTTTGCAACTTGGCCATTTAAGGTAAGAGGCCTCAGCGCTGGGCCTTCTTGGACAAAGGGCACTTTGCTTCTGAAAGGGTTCCGTGTTCGAGTTCGGTTACTGTCTCAGTCCTTTGGTTGGGGGGGGCGGTAGGGTGAGACTTTGGTTTCCGGGGTAACTGAAGGTCAAAGTTCTCTCCTTTGTGCGTGCTTCTGCTGCATGATTTGTGGTTTTGGTCTGTTGTCTCTAAAAAGGCAACTCAGGATCTTCTTAGAAATAGGACAGGACCATTTGAGCTGGTTCTGTGGTCACCGTAATGACAGTTCCTACCTCAGACGTCGCAGTGAGGATTAGATGACGTGATGCACGTTAGGTCCAGAGCACGGTGCTTGAGACTTTACACAGAACTTCAGTGTTTGCTGTTGAAGTGATTTTCTTTGAAGTATGGTAGGCGGTACTCACTTCATAGTGCTGTTTTAAGGACCAGAAATAGTCTGTTCAGTGACTAACAGTGATCTGCCAGGTAGCAAGCACGCCTTCTCGTCTACTGCAGCTGTTTCTCGAGGCAACTCTGTCTCCTAATACACCCAGCTGACCAGCTGGCTCTGCTACTTCTTTGTATCATCTGGAAAAAAAAAAAGTTCTCCAAAAGCCACGCCCCCTCCTCTCTGACTCTTACTGTAAAGTCACTTGAAAACCACAGCAGATTTTCCCAGGCCTTGGGGTCAACCCACAGGGGAAATTGCTAATCAGGTGGATCAGACTGCTGGCCTTGGGCTTCTTAGTCGCAAATGCCACTTGCAGGCGCGACAAGACAGGGCCCTCCTCTAGGTTTGCGGTCCTCCTGGGTGCAGTCCTGCTTCCCACGGCCCTCTCCCCGAGGGCCTGCCTCGGCAATGACGCATGGGTCACCCCGTGGCCTGCCTCAGCTTGCTCATTCTACGGGAGGCCTGGATGTCAGTCATGGCCGGTGACTCAGAGGCCTAGGTCTCCACCCCACAACCTCACTGCCAGTCAGGACACTATATCGGAACAAGGCACAGTCCATGTTCTGCCACATATACAGACACTGGCCAGCGGACTGACAATAAAGCGGCCATGCCATCTACTCTGTAAAACCGGAAAGGTCCCAGACTCTGTCATGCTGGTCAATCCAGCACGCACCTCGTATGAAAGGTCCACTGGAAACAGATGCAATGATTGATACCAGCCATGGGTCAGCTAATCTTGTCAGGGTCAGGTGGCAGCAACCCCCATTCGGGGGGGTGGGGTCAGGCGGGGAAGGGTACAGGGTCCACAGACTCTAGGGCAGGGGTGCCACGGCAAAGAGCGGAGGCTCCTTGGCTCCTGGGACTTGAATCCGCATTAGTTTGTCTACTCAGTCTACACCTTGACCTTCACTCATTTCACCAAAGAAAAAGCCATTCTAACACACCTGTTACGCTAATTAAAAGACCCTCTGTGTTGCCCGGAAAGTCAATGAATGCTGGTAACAGCCACCTCTGAAGCCTGGCTCTCTACTAAGTCTTTCAAATAATAACTAACCCGCCTGCAGTGCTGTGGATTCAAACAAAACACCTACATATATCCGTCTATCACCATCAGCGGAAGTATCTTTTTTCCTTGATTTCAGATCTCTTGGAAATAATCTTTTTTCTTTTAAAATTAAAAAAAAAAAAGATATCCCCATGGTTTATAACGCAAACACCCCCTACACACACTCCCTGCCTATCCTCAACCTCAACCTGAGCTCTGCTCCTCAGAATGTATGGAAGTATCGTAAAGTAAGAGGCAAAGCTCCCTCTTCCTAGACTACT